CTAAACGAACTTTATGGTTGTACGGCAGTGAAGCATCAGTGCCAACACTGATGTTCTCATGCACTTTTATTCTTTTATTCATATGGAGGTTTTCAAATAAACAGCGAAGCATCAGAGTTGAACACTTATGTCTTGTCGTCGATGATGATCTCAGGAACTACTCCAAAGATTAAGGACGTAAGAGGTTAACATCATCATCATCACCGTCACCACCATCCTCAGAGACAGCAACATCCAACAGACTGCACACATCAGCAGTAGGCGGTCACCGTCGTCCATGCATCTCGTGTCAAACCGAAGAGTCACTCACTTGGGTCTCTAGAGCTTTAAGCCTATTTACGTGAGCGTTCATGTCAATTGCAACCACAGCGATGTTTGAGCATTTGGCTGGTTATGAGAGAGCACAGCACAGCTTCGGAGCTACAGTCCGCCGGAGAGTAAAAAAAGATAAAATGAACCAGGAGCGATGAGCCACTCCGACATCTCTGTATTTACCCATCAGGGTCGGGTAGCTTCCAAGGTGTTCGTTCAGACACTAGGTACGCAGATGGCATAGCGCTTATTGGACCTGATGCCATCGTAATTCGAGGGATATCAAATGATCCAAAATAATACTGCACAATGATTCGGTGTGTAATTTACATCTGCGAAGTGTAGAGTGTTACTAAAGAAAAAGTGGGCTAAAACCCGAACCGCAAGCTTGCGGATGAAACGAATGAGCTCAGTCACATTGGTTTAGCAAAAGACATTTCCATTGGGAACACTAGAGCAACTTCTAGACCTGCACCAAGGGTGGCTCATAGGTAAACTCAGATTATCTGTCGAAGTTGAAGTTTACAATTCTGCGGTGCACTCCAGATTACGTGGGTCAGAACCCAGGGCGCTGCGTACTAACGTTGAGAAACTTCCGATGTTTGCTCGTCAAAGTTTCGGAGCATTTTCCGAGTCTAGTGAGAACATCGGATCAGTAATGCTGAAGTACGTCGAATGGTCTTACGAAGAAACAACTCGTCCACGATGAATGAGTTGATCACACGCCACAAGGGGCGTCGAGAGAGATCAGTGGTTAAGGCGCCAGCTTACGGGCCGGAAGTTTCGTGGTTCGAAACCAACCTCAGCATCTCGACTGCTGCTGCGTAGGCTTGGGCAACCTAGTATTGTCTCAGCCCCCGTGCCTTTCAGATGGCATGGCAGCAAGGCCTCGAAAAAGTGTTAGTTGGACAACTGTTCAACCAATTCCATAAATAAGACACCGTTTAATCTTTTTCGCAGTTTTCATGATGTCGGTTGATCAGTTAAGCTGAAAGTGGGTGCGGGCGTTGCCTGTGGCGAAAGCCTGTTAGGTCTTCGCGGTCCACCAAGGTTCTCATTTTTAGAGTTCTTGAATATCCGGTGGGTGCCATCATAGTCACTGGTAAGGCTTTTCTGGCAACAACGTTTGATGAAATCATGTCCTATTTTTCGCACCAGATGGCTTGGACAGGAGTTCTAAAAGCTGACAGCATAGGTTCTGAAAGTCGCTCCGATTGAATCCCGAAACCATTTTTGTCACAAACATGAAGTAAGCTGGGGGCCGACTCCAAACCTACCACCTATGCTCCTTCCAGGCTGAGTCGTCCAAATTGAGCGTCCATATGGTCCACCGGAATAATTACATCTACTGACCGAGACAGTCCCTACAGATGTCGATCAAAACATCTTTCTCAGTTTCAAAACTGCAGTCTGCCAGGTCGTGTTGACAGGTTTGCCGCATTGACAACGGTAATCAGTGAAGGGCTTCCAACCCTGAGGTTGAGTGTATCTCCAGCACCATAGAGCTCAAGATAGATCTGAAGTTAAGGCCCGAGCTCAATGACCAAAAGGTTTGTGGTTAGAACACTGAGTGGTTTTGTCTAGACTGGAGTAACCTGGCAGTGCCCGACCTCTCGTGCTTCCCTCGGGTGGCATGGACGCAAGGGTCAAAAGATGTTACAGATGAACGATTATTATTACCACTATAGAAATCACGACCTATCGCAGCAAGATTACAAGATACTCAAAAAGTGGTATATGCGTTAATCCTAAGCAGCTTGAAGGGCGCGGCGGAAGTGGGTTCTTGTATGCGTCTTTCGGAGACACATAAACCAACAGAAGAGTTGCCTAATTTGGCAAAGCCGGAATGTGGCCCTTGGAGTTAAATAAGAGGTTATTTTGGTTTATTCAATGGGCGATAGTTCAGATAAAATGGTAATATGGCACGTGAGAACTTGTTTTGCGAAACCGCGTTAGTCAGCTAGTTATATCTTACTCTCTGATCCTTCGAAGCAGGCCAGCGGGTCAGACTATTGGGTTAAAAGTAAGGGAAAGGGTCCTTGAATGAGGCCCTACATACACCCGCTGTCTTGTAGGTCAGACTTTCGAACTGACGGCTGGAGATGCGATACATCAATTAGACCCCACTCTTCGGTTTGGACAACTGGGAAGCATCAGTTGGCTCTCCAGCTCTTTGTTCACCAGTCAGTACAATCGGCGATATGGAGAAATCAATGACATGAATGCTTTCAAAGGAACTGTCAAACGTGCGGGACAAGTTAGTCCATCATTTGGGTGCATCAATCGCATCGGGAAAGGTAAGAACATTCAGGTCAAATAGTGGTATGATTTACAGTACTATTACACGGGCAAATCGTGACAGATACCATTGGTCCCATTTAAGCGCAA